ACACACACACACAAAAGAATCGGAATTTCTCCCTTCTTTCAGGCAGGTCATTATTGAAGGGGAAGATTCGATTCTTAATTGAGTAAATCTTGTTGACTCGCATGGTTGGGGTAAACGGTTTGGCTTCTTAATTAGTTGATGCCATTTTTTAGATGTCGTGCTATTGAAGATTCAATTAGTTATATATGTATCTAATATTATGGGAAAATGACAAAAAAATGACTGTTGAAATTTGAAATGACAAAATGGATATGCAAATAACTGAAATGACTAAATGGGCATAGGGTATCAATATGGAATTTTGTCAATTCGATAGAAAGACTAAAATGCCCTGAACCTCTCTGAAGATATGAACTGGAAGAAAACAATAATATACCAGAAGAGAGAGAGAGAGAGCTGAGAAGACGAAGCTAGAGCAAGGGTCGAAATCTAGAAAGAGGGAAAAGGTAAGCAATTTTTCCGTTAAAACGCTAGTATCACCCGATTTCTTGACTCGCTTTGTTGCTGCATGCTCGAATGGGAATGGGTCTGTGAGTGTAGAGGGTTTGGATGAAGAATTTGACCAGGACAAGGAGTGACGCGTCGGAAATGGAAAAATGGTGACAAACAGTAAGCATGAGGTGGTCAGTGTTGTTAAATTCCTTAGTGAAATTGTAAAATCCTATATTTAAGTTGTCAATGGAGTAAGTGGGTGTGTGTGTGTTGTGGGTGTTTTGAAAGATAAATGAAATTGATTATTGGGGAACTAAAATATTGATTTATGCTTCTTTATTGCAGGTTAGCAGGCTTTGATGACATCTAACATTGGGTCTAACATTTAGGAGTAATTTTTTTGGTGTAAATAGAATAACTTTTGAACCCTTAATTTTTTTGGGAGAATAGTTGATAGAGAGGTTATCCTTTTTGTAAATAATGTTAACTGGGTAGGATATGTTTGTAATCTGAATGACAAGGAAACATTAGGTGGTGGTTTCATCTTAATGTTAACTTGTCATTTAAATACAAGTTATGTAACTTCTGTCATAGGCGTACTGGTTTTTGGTAAATATTATCACTTGAGTAGTCAATTCCATTATATATGTAGTAAAGTCTGAATGTTAATATAAACATATTATGATGTTCTTCAGGTGTACTTGTATGCTATTTTGTCAACACATTTTTACCATTTGCTTAATTCCTCCAAGAGAGATGGTGGAAGTTGCCAATGGGCATGACCGGAGTGGTTAATTTGATTACAAATGCTGTTATTCACATTACAAATGTTGTTATTATCATTATCGGGGTAGTAAAATTGACTGAAAATAGATGTTATTTGGGTTTGAAAGAAATGAGTTAACAAATGGCAATAGCGAGATAGTAACTCTTATTACAAAAGTTGTAATTCATGTTACAAATATTATCATTATTATGGTAGTAAAATTGGCTCCAAATACATGTTAAATTCATTTCACATTAACCAGTTGCAAATGGCAATAGCGAAATTGTAACTCACATTACAAAAGTTGTAATTCACATTACAAATGTTGTCATTATCATTATCGGGAGTGTGAAATTAGCTCCAAATATATATTACTTGGGTTTGAAATAAACGAGTTGCAAGTGGCAATAGCGAGATGATAACTCTCATTACAAAAATTGTAATTCATATTACAAATGTTGTCATTATCATTATCGGAGTAGTAAAATTGGCTCCAAATACATGTTACTTTGGTTTAAAATAAACGAGTTGCAAATGGCAATACGGAAGTGGTCACTTTCATTACGAATGTTGTTAATCCCATTACGTGTGTAGTGAAATTTGGGTCCAAATAGATGTAATTTGGGGTACAAATAATTGAGTTGCAAATGCCATGACAGAAGTTACAACTTTCATTATGCATGCTGTAATTATCATTACTTGTTTAGTAAAATTATTCCAAAAAAGATTTAAATTAAGCCAACAAATATCATAACTTACAACCTACAACCATAAGTCAAGTATTTTGACAATATTTGAACACTACTTTCACAAAACATTTCAACTAGCAGTAATATATAATCTGTAAATTATTTTCACTTTCAGAACATGCTAATATATAATTCAGATTCATTAAATAGTCTCTGAACACCATTATATCAGCTTCTAAATTTCCAAAACTTGAATCCCGCAACCTCAAGCATTAATAGCCCCAACAACAATGAACACACACACATGCTTGTAAGATGACATGCCATAGCTACTTACTACCCTGATAATGATAATAACAACATTTGTAATGTGAATAACAGCATTTGTAATCAAATTAACCACTCTGGTCATGCCCATTGGCAACTTCCACCATCTCCCTTGGAGGAATTAAGCAAATGGTAAAATGTGTTGACAAAATAGCATACAAGTACACCTGAAGAACATCATAATATGTTTATATTAACATTCAGACTTTACTATATGTATAATGGAATTGACTACTCAAGTGATAATATTTACCAAAAACCAGTATGCTTATGACAGAAGTTACATAACTTGTATTCAAATGACAAGTTAACATTAAGATTAAACCACCACCTAATGTTTCCTTGTCATTCAGATTACAAACATATCCTACTCAGTTAACATTATTTACAAAAAGGATAACCTCTCTATCAACTATTCTCCTAAAAAAATTAAGGGTTCAAAAGTTATTCTATTTACACCAAAAAAATTACTCCTAAATGTTAGACCCAATGTTAGATGTCATCAAAGCCTGCTAACCTGCAACAAAGAAGCATAAATCAATATTTTAGTTCCCCAATAATCAATTTCATTTATCTTTCGAAACACCCAAAACACACACACACACCCACTTACTCCATTGACAACTTAAATATAGGATTTTACAATTTCACTAATGAATTTAACAACACTGACCACTTCATGCTTACTGTTTGTCACCATTTTTCCATTTTCGACGCGTCACTCCTTGTCCTGGTCAAATTCTTCATCCAAACCCTCTACACTCACAGACCCATTCCCATTCGAGCATGCAGCAACAAAGCGAGTCAAGAAATCGGGTGATACTAGCGTTTTAACGGAAAAATTGCTTACCTTTTCCCTCTTTTCAGATTTCGACCCTTGCTCTAGCTTCGTCTTCTCAGCTCTCTCTCTCTCTTCTGGTATATTATTGTTTTCTTCCAGTTCATATCTTCAGAGAGGTTCAGAGTATTTTAGTCTTTCTACCGAATTAACAAAATTTCAGATTGATACCCCATGCCCATTTAGTCATTTCAGTTATTTGCATACCCATTTTGTCATTTCAAATTTCAACAGTAATTTTTTTGTCATTTTTCCTAATATTATGTAGTTAAAAAAAATTAACACTTATGATTTAGTTATATATATTTTTATGTATTAATTAAATATATATACTCAATGCTGACTTTTACTCCCATTTTGATTTGCAAAAACTTGTTCGAATAAAAATTACTTTTGCCAACTTGTAAACGAGTCCTGCGATAAGCCAAGAGGCTGCTTCATAAATGGAGGCACATGGAAGCATGTGAAATGGGGTGACCAATGGGAGATGAAAAAAATGAATGAATGAAAGTGCACGATCGAAATGGGAAGGGATTTCTCTTATATATATGGGAAACCCAACAAATAAAATAAAAACGTGACAGTTGGATTGTCAAGGTTAATTAGGAAATGGGATATCCAATTCCATCGAAAGAGGCCATTAATTAATTAGTTGATCGAAGCTTCCTTCTCATTCACACGCTCACATGCAGTCATATCACTTTCGATAGAAGATGTCACAAAAGAACGGGTAACGTAGTACTTCCTCCAGTTCTATACTTCTATATAATCTATATAAGAATTGTATGTATATCATTCTTTTTATTATATTACTTCTTATCCTTAATATATAATTTACTTAATTAATTTACGTAGATTAATAAAACTAGTTAAATTAGTTATTTCTTAAAATATGTGTTAGTTTTCTTAGTGTATCTTCTTAAATCGTTTGTATTGAAAGTTGCTCCTTAATGCAAACTGTCTTAAAGTATGCTATCAATAATAAGAATAATTTTTAAAAAAATTTATATGGAGGGCCAATTTCAAATCATCTTATTGGCCCATTAACTCTCGCTTGGGTCAATGTCCAGCCTTCTATGATCATTGCCCAGAAAATACCTACTATTTTATATGCAACTTCTTTGCATATTGTTTTTAGGGAGAATTACAATGAAGTCCCAAGCAAGAAAAATAATTAAAAAACAAGTCCTAAAGGTTGTCATTCTCACTATAGGACTTGTCATTATAGGCTGTTGAAATTGTTATTGACACTTTTTGGTAATTATACTTCTTCTATGGGACTTGATTGTAATTCCCTCTTGTTTTTAATCAAAATCTGTATTTATTAATTAAGAATGTAATTTTGAACAAGTTTATTTAATATACGTGTCTTCTTGTGCGTGTATTATATAAAAATCACATGTTAATATAATTTTTTGTCTCTCAAATTTGTTCTCATTATTTTGGTTTTAGTCTTTAAGTTTTAAATCATAGATTTTGATTATTCAGAAATAAAATATTCCAAATTTTTACTGGGTTACATAGACTAATACTTTAAATAAAAAGAAACTTGAGAGACCAAAACCTATAGTTTAAAACCTGATAAACTAAAACCAAATGAGAGCAAACTTGAAGAACTAAAGTTTGTATTAACCCAAAAATCACATTGATATATGATAATAAGTCATAAATATCATAATTTACTTTTACCAACATGCTTTTTGATGGTTTTTTTAAAATAAATCTAAGAAGTATTTTATTTAGTAATTGAACAAACTCACCATGGGCTATTTTTAATTATATGGAATTCACAAAGTTTCTTAAATGCATAAAATGCAAACAATAAAATACAAATAATACAACCTAGAAGCTGTGGTCTGCGTAACAGGAATCCCTTGGGTCTTCACAGTTCTTGATCCATGGCTTCCATTACAAATCAAAGTTCTAACAGATCATATGGCCTTTGTGATCAACGACCTCCAGAGAGCAATGATTCAGCTACTGAACAGTGAGAGAAAGATTGATCAACGTGAGATGGAACGGAGGCAGTGGAATCACAAAGGCCATAATTCCCAAATGATAAGCCTAGAGAAGTAGAATATAAGCTTAAAGATGACAAATCAGGCAAAGGCATTTCCCAATTTAGATATTGCACAACTCGACGCATGCTTGGCCTACTCACTGGTTGGCAACTTGAACACAACAGTCCAAGTTTCAGCACCAACTCTATCTCTTCTGCTGGATATTCTGTTCCTAAATTTGGATCCTTTGCCTCAATAATCTCACCCTTATTCCATAACTCATAAACCCAATCTACTAAAATCACACACTCATCTTCATTTACTTGCTCTATGGGCTTTCTTCCACACACAACCTCAAGCAGAAAGGCCCCAAAAGCAAAAACATCTGACTTTGTCGTGAATCTCCTTGTTCTTGTCTGCTCTGGTGCTAGATAACCCCATGTCCCAACCACATGTTTTGTAGTTTGAGGATCACTGCCATGGTCATATAGTCTTGCAAGACCGAAATCTCCTAACCTGGCATTGAACTCTGAATCTAGCAATACATTGCTTGCTTTTATATCTCTATGCACCACAACGTGCTCCCATTCTTCATGCAGATAGCATAATCCCGAAGCTACCCCTTTGGTGATTCTAAATCTTTGCATCCAATTTAGTGTCACTTTGGGTTGGTTGTGGAGGTACTTATCTAAGCTTCCATTTGGCATGAAATTATAAACCAAAAGAAGCTCACCTTTTCGCCTGCAATATCCCAAAAGAGATACAAGGTTTCGATGGCGCAGACGACCGATACTCACAATTTCTGCTATGAATTCCCTCATGCCTTGTCGGGATTCATGGGATACTTTCTTCACGGCAACCTCAACTTTCGAACCAGGCATTGTTCCTTTGTACACCTTTCCAAATCCACCACAACCTATAAGCTCCTTCTCTCTGAATCCCTTTGTGGCGATGTAGAGATCTTTGTATTTGAACCTGTGAGAACCATAGTCTTGCTCCCACTCCTCTACGATCTCAGAAAACTTCCATTTCCAACATATGCAATAAACTATAGGTAAACTAACAAGAACAATTAGACAAAGTGAAAGGAGAGGTAACCCAACTGGAGATTGTTCGTTTCCTCTATGTGGTGGGAGTTTTGGGAGTCTGCGGGCATCAAGGTTTTGAGCCTCCCCATTGAGCTGGAAACTCCAACCAAGAATGTAATGCAAAGCTGTCAGCCGCCCATTGGAAGATGAGAATCCAACATAATTGGCATTGGCTAGAATTTGAGAAAGATCTTGGGACAATCTTAACAATGGAGTTTTGGGCTTGTTAACATGGATTGGAGCTACGGTGACGCTAATTTGCCTCTTGCCCCCATCATAATCTACCCACACCTGCATCGGCAGGCCACTGGCAAGGCTCAAATTTTGAAACTGAAACCTATTTGCATAGTATCCGGCCGGAGTAGAGTTTCTGGAATTCAAACTGTTATCACTGATATCCCCAGACTCATTGTTCTTGACGGCGTAGAATTCTACAGCAAGCACATGGTTATTGGGGTTTCCATTGTTGGCTACATTGAAGACACCGAGGTACCGGCTGGGCAGAGCATCTGGAAATGCTTTTGTTGGAGAAATCACAAAAGCCATTATTCCAAGATCACTTGGAGCTGGATACTGAGGTCTAATGGCGAAAACAAAAGTAGTAGAGAAAGAAGAAGTGTTTGTGAAAACTACTGGATTGGAGTAAAAGGCACGACCCTTTTGAGTCCTAGCTTTATTGGTGAGTTGGAGGAGGCCATTAGAGGAAACAGAAGAAGGACCATCCATGCTTAAATTAGCTGATTGGAATCCATGAAAGATGAAACCTGTATCTCCGCCACTCACTAGCGATATCGCCAGCGACATCACCCCCAACAAAAGGAACACCATCGCCATGATCGAGGTTCAAAGACACAAGTTCCTCTACATCAATGTCATCTTTCAACTTCTCCGCTATTTGTATCTGCTAATAGGTATGAACACATGCACAGTTTCTCCTTATTTCTGCGGCGGTCGTTGAAGAACTTGTTGACTCGTGCATGGCGTGGCTGGTCTTGGGCAGTAGGTCCATGAAGAAGTACTTTACGAAACTGCGTTGATGTTGGGTCTATGAGGGGCCCAAATGGTCGTTGAGCTAGGGAATTTCTTGCTGCTTTATCATTCAAAGAACGGTTAGGATTTCGAGGTATTTGGATGGAAACTAAACTATAATTTTAGAAGTGATTTTACAATTTATGAGATAAATATATGAAGGAGTTTGTTTCAATTTATGGAAAAGTACTTTTAAAATCTGATCCAAAGATACAATTGTCTACTTATATGCTGTCATATCGTGAGCAAGGGAACAATCAGTATAAAAATACTATAAAATTTATGCTATTGATGTCACCACAAAAAGCGTCATGCAGTGGTGTATCACCCAAGAAAAAGTCTTTTGTCAAGTATCTCATTCTTTTATTAAAGCCTGATCCCCCCAAAAAAAAAAATCGGGTTTATTTGGGCAGTTTAATTGACCAGAAAATATTAAAAAAAAATAAAGGTACTTTTGTGAGGCGCTCTTAAAACACAAAAGTCATCTGCTCACCAAAAAAAAAATAAAGGGGTCACCTCTTGAATGGTGGGAACCGAGGATCACGTATTTTAGACTTGCTTTGCTAGTTGCTATGAGGAAATAAAAGGGACGTTTAATAAAAACATTTAAATGACGGTAAAAAATGATCTGTGCATGAAAGTGATTTAGATAAAATGAAGGACTCAAATTTTTGAAAGAGATCAAGGCCAAAAATTTTTTGGAAAGAGATTATCATTTTTCAGTTAAATGATTGACATTAGTTTTTTTTTAATTTCTTAAAAAAGTAATCCTTTCTTTTATTTATTAAGGCTTATTTGGATGGGCACTTCATAAAAAAAAATGATTTCTGACACACTACTAACAATTTAGAATGAGCTCTTCAAATAAGCTCCTCCTAGGAGTTTAATTTAAAATGCACGGTCAGGTGGCTTATCAAAAACAAACCCAATTACGTATAAGCCCTCTCAAATATGATATGATTTTCCAATCAAGGTTCTGCCCAAAATAAATGGCTCATAGGCTAATATAAGAACAATCAACAATGAACAAAGAACGACTTAAAAGGCAAAAAAAATAACCTGGGGGAGAAGGAGCCCTTTGTTATTTTTTAAAAATGGGCATAAAAATATGGCCCTTTTGCTTCGCCAAGACGGTGGCAGCTGGATCTCCAGTGTAATGTCTACTCAAACTGACTAAACCCATTAGGGTTAGGGCTTCAATTATGAGCGTCGCTTCAACCGTACGTGGTATTTATGGTTCCCCTTTTTTTTGCTAAAACGACATCTCTATATTTTTATAATGAAATAAGCACCGCTCTTATTGACGAAAGAACCCATTAAATGAAAGGGAAGGGAAGGGTAAGAGGGGAGAAGGCTCATAGGAAGGATAGATTCCAAAGGGAAGAAGTGTCTGGGGCAGACTTTGCTTGTGAGGCAAGTCTCCTCTACTAATGGGCCTGGGGTTGGGCCACCATGGGGAGCTTTACACGTGTCACAAAATAACGTGCGCTAATAAGTCGTTTTCATATCTTCACATTTGGGAAAGGCAGCAGACATCGTATCCCTGTCTCCAAAACTCGCCGCCCCTCTCTCTCTTGCCGCTCCTCTGCACCCGACTTTTCACATTTATAGCTTTGTTTCACAACTTATTTATCATACTGATTACAGTACATTTCTAATAAATTAATGTGAATTCTCAGTATATCAATCAAAAATTCAAAATGAAGCGCACTACTTGCTACAATTTATAAACCGTACGACTTTTCATAATTCATGAATATTATAGTTTGATTAACTCGTGATATTCTTTTGGAAAAAAGACAAAAAAAATAACATGTTAACTTAGGAATGACCAGAACGTCCATTGAAGTTGCAAAATCCCATTTTGATCATATGAGACTAAATTGACATTATCTTGTCAAATGAAAAGACTAAATTGTCTTTTATTTTATTTATTGTTTTTAAAATACCAAAGATCCACTGGCCGGCCGGTCACCAGAGCTCTGGCGGCTGCAGTCACTAGAGCCCCGGTGACCGGCCGACAATTGGTCACGGGAGCTTTGGCGGTCGGAAATAATTTTTTTAAATTTTTTTGCAACTTCAGTATAATGGTTAACCACTTATGTAACGCTATTAATAACTTTAGTATATCAGTTAACAACAGGTTTTTTGAAAAATTCAACAAGCTCCGGTGGCCGGAAATAATTTTTTTGAAAATTTTTACAATTTTAGTATAAAAGTTAACAACTCTTATAACGCTATTAACAACTTCAGTATATCAATTAACGACAGGTTTTTCAAGAAATTCAATAAGCTCCGGCAATCGAAAACCATTTTTTTGAAAATTTTTACAACTTCAGTATAACGGTTAACAACTTTTGTAATGCTATTAACAACTTCAATATACCAGTTAACAATAGGTTTTTTGGGAAATTCAACAAGCTCTGACAGCCAAAAACAATTTTTTTGAAAATTTTTACAACTTCAGTATAACGGTTGACAACTTTTGTGACGCTATTAACAACTTCGATATAGCGGTTAACAACAGGTTTTTGAGTTTGTTAACGGCATTACTGAAGTTGTAAAAATGTTACTTTTTGAATTTCTCAAAAAACTTGTTATTAACTGCTATATCAAAGTTGTTGATAGAGTTACAAAAGTTGTTAACCGTTAAACTGTAGTTATAAAAATTTTCAAAAATAAGTAGTTGTTAAAGTTATAAAAATGTCATTTTTTTAAATTTTTTTTAAAAAACCTGTTGTTAAATGCTATATCAAAGTTGTTAATAAAATTACAGAACTTGTTAACGATATTACTGGAGTTATAAAAATGTTACTTTTTGAATTTTTTGAAAAACTTGTTATTAACTGCTATACTGAAATTGTTAATAACATTACAAAAGTTGTTAACCGTTATACTGAAGTTGTAAAATTTTTTTTTAAAAAAAGTAGTTGTTAAAGTTGTAAAAATACTTGTTTTTTTATTTCTAAGAAAATATGTTGTTAAATAATATACAAAAATTGTTAATAGAGTCACGGAACTTGTTAACGGTATTATTGAAGTTGTAAAAATGCTACTTTTTGAATTTCTCAAAAAATTTATTGTTAATTGCTTTACAAAAGTTGTTAACCATTATACTAAAATTATAAAAAATTTCAAAAAAAATTGTTTCCAACCACCGGAGACCCAACGACCAATTGTTGAATTTTCTGAAAAACCTATTGTTAACTAATATACTGAAGTTGTTAATAGCATTACATGAGTTGTTAACTGTTATGCTGAAATTGTAAAAATTTTCAAAAAAATTGTTTCCGGCCGCCGGAGCTTGTTGAATTTTCCAAAAAATCTCTTGTTAACTACTATACTAAAGTTGTTAATAGCATTACAAAAGTTGTTAACCGTTATATTGAAGTTGTAAAAATTTTAAAAAAAATTGTTTTTGGTTGCCGGAGCTTTGGCGATCAATTGTTGAATTTCTCAAAAAATCCGTTGTTAATTGATATACTGAAGTTGTTAATAGTGTTACAAAAATTGTTAACCGTTATACTGAAGTTGTAAAATTTTTTTAAAAAATTGTTTCCGGTAGCCGGAGCTGTTGAATTTCTTGAAAAATCTGTTGTTAACTGATATATTGAAATTGTTAATAGCGTTACAAAAGTTGTTAACTGTTATACTGAAGTTGTAAAAATTTTCAAAAAAAATTGTTTTCGGCTGCTTGTTGAATTTCTCAAAAAAATCTGTTATTAACTGCTATATTAAAGTTGTTAATAGTGTTACAAAAGTGGTTAACCGTTATACTGAAGTTGTAAAAACTTTTAAAAAAATATTTCTAATCAACGGAGCTCCGGTGATTGCTGCCGTCGGTCAGTGAAAGTTTTGGTATTTTAAAAACAATAAATAAAATGAAGGGTAATTTGGTCTTTTCATTTGATAAGATAATGTCAATTTGGTCTCATATAACCAAAATGGAATTTTGCAAGTTCAGCGGACGTTCTGGTCATTCCCAAGTTAACATGTCATTTTTTTGTCTTTTTCCCTATTCTTTTCCTCCAGAAATGTGAAGTAATTGAAGATTAAAAGGGTGTTTGGCAACCCTCAAAAATGCTTTTATAAAGTACTTTGTCACAAAACGAGGTAAACTCATTTATATATTTATTTCGTAAATTGTAAAAACACTTTTAAAACCATGATTTTATTTCTATTCAAATACCCCTAAGTAAAGCTAGATATCCTGGAGTTTTCGGGCGTCTTAAAATTTAGGATACGATACAATAGAATATTAAACAAATTTCACAAAGGAGAAGATGATGCAAAATCAGCCATGGCTAATCGAAAGAGAGAATTTGCATTTAATAAACTGGCTTTGCCATTTGATTCAGAATTTTAAAAAAAGATACACCAGAGTCAGCACTAAAATTCTGAAAAATCACACGTAACCAAATCATACGAAAATCCCATACTATATTCAGCAGATTCACATTATTAAATATAATACTCGTACGTAATATTTTCATGAAACAAACCTTGGACAAGCCGAATTCATGGCAATGAGCAAAGAACCAATCATCATTATCCAATTATGACGAAATCCATCAACCGGCTTGTCGTAAACTTGGAAATAATTGCAGGAGATGGTGAATTGCGATAATTTTAGGACTTTTTTTGGGGGGGGGGGGGGGACAGGGCATATAACCAGATTCGCGATGTAGAGTCTCCAGTTAGTTACTGATTAAATGAAAGCTTCCGCTCATTCATCAAATTAACTTAATCCAAAAGATAAAGCTAAAGATAAAGTGCCTATTTGGAGCAACGTTTAAATG